AAATTCATTCTAAAATTTTTTGATTACTTGGTGTTTGTATTACTCGCTTTGACTGTACTATGGAAAAGTGATAGTTTGTGTTTCTTAATTCTATAAAGATTTTTTGATAACAGAAATTCTATAGAAGCTAGAGGAAGAATATCCAGCAGATTCGATAACAATTACCTATAGTCTAAAGACATTGTTGGCCCGTTCCTTTGCTCCCTACACAATGTCTGAGAGCCCATTTTTGGCTGTTTCAGTAATTTCTAATTTGTAAATTTTTTCAAATCAATCAAGTACCAATTCATGCTCATTGAGAGAACATTCTTCTTTTCTTATTTCCAAACTGCAGAACTTCCACAATTTCTTCCATTTATGAATGAACCAACACACATTTTAGAGGAAACATTTCTCAAATCATCCAGGGCTCTTTCCCTCAATACAGTATCGAGCAGATCATCAGTACATAGTGATGAGTTTCAGCCATGCTCAAGCCCCCAGTGCAGAGAGCCCATCAATCGGGGACAGCAGAACTAGGTTGACTTACTGATCTCGTCGCTATCACTGTATGTTGTGCCATAGCAGTGTTTCTCGGTCAAGACTTTCGAAGTAAAATCGAACCATTTCCAGAATCAATGTTGAATATTTCTTCCATGTCTGTGTGTCGATCTACAGAATACCTGAAAAATACAGAACAGAATTTAGATATTCTCATATTATAAAATGATTCCCAGAATATGTTACATTAAATTTTTCTACTCATAGTGCATTTAAATATCTATAAATTAACATTAAGCAAAATAGTCTGAGAAATTAATTCTTTATAATTGAGGTTTAATAATAAACTCACTAGCCAAGTTAAATAATTTTGAGAATCACTACTAGCTTTTTTATATGTAATTTAGATCAAATTTATATAGTAATTATTATACTTTTTAAACTCAAGTTTTTAGGAGAAGGGACTGCAGAAGGATGACCTGGCCATGATAAGGAATTGGGATTCATTCTCAATGCCATGCAAATCTGCCAAAGGGATCCCAGCAGGGCAGTGCTGCAATCTAAATCATGTTGAACAAAGATTGTTGATTGAATGAAAATGGTTGAAAGGTGCTGTCACAAGCTAATGGAAGAAGAGTGGAAAACAGGACTTAGGAAAAAAATGCTAAGAGAATTACATAAGGGGAAACAGATACCCAGAAGGGTTAGAACAATCTTAGAACATGGTAAGAACTAGATTAATATTTAAAGAGAGTTTGTATATGATGGAGAAAAGACAGCCCCTACAACAAATGTTGCTGGGAAAAGTGGTTATCCATCTGCAAGAAACTGAAACTAGATCCATGTCTATCACCCTGTACTAGTATCAACTCAAAATGGATCAAAGGCCTTAATATCAGACCTGAAACTCTGAAGTTAGTGCAGGAAGGAGCAGGAAACACTCTGGAAGTAATAGGTATAGGAAAGGACTTCCTCAATAGAACCCCAACAGCCCAGCAACTAAGAGAAAGGATGGACAAATGGGACTTCATAAAATTAAAAAGTTTCTGCACAACAAAAGAAATGGTCTCTAAACTGAAGAGAACACCCACAGAGTGGGAGAAAATATTTTCCAGCTATACATCAAACAAAGGACTGATAACCGGAATATACATGGAACTTAAGAAACTAAACTCTCCTAAAATCAATGAACCAATTAAGAAATGGGCAACTGAACTAAACAGAACTTTCTCAAAAGAAGAAATTCAAATGGCCAAAAAACACAGGAAAAAATGCTCACCATCTCTAGCCATAAAGGAAATGCAAATTAAAACCACACTAAGATTCCACCTCACCCCATTAGAATAGCCAGCATCAAAAACACCACCACCAACATGTGTTGGCAAGGATGTGGGGAAAAAAGAACCCTGGTCCATGCTGGTGGGAATGCAAGTTGGTACAACCACTCTGGAAAAAAAATTTGGAGGCTTCTTAAAAATCTAAACATAGATCTGCCATATGATCCAGCAATCCCACTCCTGGGGATATACCCAAAGGAATGTGACACAGGTTACTGCAGAGGCACCTGCACACCCATGTTTATTGCAGTGCTATTCACAATAGCCAAGCTATGGAAACAACCAAGATGCCCCATTACTGATGAATGGATCAAGAAAATGTGGTGTTTATACACAATGGAATTTTACTCAGCCACGAAGAAGAATGAAATCTTATCATTTGCAAGTAAAAGATGGAAGTGGAGAACATCATTCTGAGCGAGGTTAGCCAGGCTCAGAAGACTAAAAATCACATGTTCTCCCTCATATGCGGACTTGAGATCTAGGGCAAATATAGCAATGTGGTTGGACTTGGATCACATGATAAGGGGAGAGCACATAAGGGAGATATGGGAATAGTAGAAAACCCCAAACATGAAGTGTTTGATTTCCCCACTCCAGAGGAGCTAATACAGAAACCTCAAAGTTACAGAGGTCAACATGAGAAGGGGATCAGGAACCAGTGTAAAGATAAGTTAGAGATGAATCAACTTGGGTTGTAACACATTTATACATGAAAGCAATGCTAGGAATCTCTCTGTATAGCTGTCCTTATCTCAACTAGCAAAAACGTATTGTCTTCCTTATTATGCTTATGTCTTCTCTTCAACAAAATTAGAAATAATTTTGTTATTCTGCCTGGACGCGAGGTGGGGAGGAGGGGAGAGGGTGGGGAAGCGGGCATGGGGGAGATATGACCCAAATAATGTATGCACATGTGAACAAATGAATTTAAAAAAACTGAAAAAAAAGAGAGTTTGTAGAAATTGAAATACCAAGAATAGTGTCTTAGAAATCAAAGGACAGAATCTTCAATACTAAAATTGAACAATTCAGTAGATTTTGAGAAATGTTCTCTTTTTATGAATTTCTTAGTAATTTTTATTTATTTGTTTATCTACTATCACTAGTTTTTAGAATAGTCATGTAGGGGGAAAAGTTTTCATGTATGTTTATGAGGGAGGAAGCACTAAAGAGAAAATTTTCAAGAAAGTTGCTATGTTAAGGCCTTCAGGGAAAAAATATTGCCTATTTCAACTGGACTTTCAAAACTGATGATAAGAGGTTTAAAAGCTTTGGCTTAATAGAAATACAATTTAAGTAAATGATCTCATTAGTCAGACACAAAATTGCTATGAAAGTTCTAAGAAAAATTGTTACTAATTTGTAATTTGTCCAAGATTCTATATCAAGGAATTATTCTGTTTAATATGTAAGTGGTGAGCTATAATAAGCAATATACTTTAATTTTTGTCATCTAGCAGGTATAAATGAAAAACATCTAATCATTATAGGCTGTTTAAACTTGATTTCAAAGAAAATTCATGAAATTTATATATTTATATGTATACATAATTTTTGGTTTGAATTTCAGTTTTGGTATATTTAAAGTAATATTTTTATTTCCAAAGGGTTGAAACATGAAAAATCTATTTACTATTTTGCTGCTTCTGTTCTGAATCAGCATGTATTAAGAATTTAGGCAATGACATTTACTTACTCTATCACCTTTCTTCATTTTTAATTTGAGAATGATAAATATTTATAGCATACAGTTAATTGCCAAAAAAGGAAATCTCAATATTCATAGACTTTGTGAGAAATTTAATAATTATCTATAAACATGTTTTTTCCCTCATGAAAAATGTCAAGCATAAGAAGTGCTGCTTAGTGCCTTCCTAAGCTGTTACAGTTAAATGCAGCAGTAATCTGTTTTGTTCTTTGTCCCTTTGCCTCCTGCTATAGTTTTAAGTTTTACAAGTAATCATATTTTCCCATCAAGCCTTGAAATAAAGGGTAAACAGTGAGGAAGTCTTAGTTGAAGGCAGCTTTAAATTTTAAAGAGAGATTAACTATTTAGGAAATAACAAAATTTATATTGTTTTTCCCTAATTGGGAGATTAAAAATTAATAGCAAACCTAAAATGCCTACATTGTTCAGGAATGGTGCTTGCACATAAAGCCTTATTTTCTTTTTGTTGTTTTTTCCAAACGAAATTCAATTTGCATGAAGGATATTTACTTATGCACAGTAGTATTAATTATAATCAGCACCAACAGGGAACAAGTTGACCAATCCCATCAGGATGGTAGCAGATGATTCTGTGGGGAAAGCTCTTTCCCTCCCCCAAGACTCATTGCATTCAGTTATTAAGTAATGTCTTCTTGTGCATCCTCAAGTCAGGAAGATTTGTGGGTTAGAAAGGAGGTGTGTCTGCATGCAAACTTTTCATAGTAGGTGTTTATAGTGACATAAGACTTGTGGATATCAAAAAGCATTTGTGATAAAATTGTGGAAGTAAAGTATTTTTGTGACTGCATAATAATAAATCAATGTTTGGGAAAGGATTCTAATTAATTATTCACCTAACATATTGTCTAGCATGTAGTTATTCAGTATTTATGTATAGGTAAGACTATGTATAGATGTACTTTCCTAATATAAGAATAATTTTTATCCTGTAAAAGGAATCCCTGGAACATTCATTTATATACCAATATACTGTGTATTTCTAGCCTTAAATCTATGCCTGTATATCAAATCCATATGTACCAAAGGAAGGCTGGCAGCAAAGAACTTTAAAATTAACTAACAGACAAGCCAGTCTGACAAAGTAACTATTTCCTTTCATAAAACATAAAATAATGCAGTGGGTAAAAATGGTATTTAGTATAAAAAGTCACATAGATATGGAAGTATATAGCCTACATTTCCAAAACACATACTCTCTTCAAATTAAATACATGTTGATCTATCAAGGAAGTAACTGAAACTCATATTTGTAAACTTCTAGCATTAACACTTTTAAATTGGACTCGACACTGACTTGCTAAGGGTTTTTTTAATGCAGTTAGAAGGAGCTCCAAGTGAGATAATAGGTGTGAAAGCGCTTAAATGATTTGTGTTGTGTAAGTGAATGCCACCATTTATTTTCCTGTTTATAATGTTACACTTAGATGGGGAAATACTTGATCCATGGAGCTCACGTGGCTACTTTGAGTTGACCATAGTCCAGTTCAAGGTGTCCTCTAGCTATTCCAGTGCAATGATAAAACAAGAGTCTATTTGGCTCCTTGAAAGCAAGCCAAGCATTTTCATGTTTTAGATGTAAGAATATCGTATGTTTCATTAGAACAAAGGGAGCTCAGTGGCTAAAAAGTTAGAGGACAAAGGACTTTGAGCAATAATGTCCTTCAATGGAATAGCTAGAGTAGCACTGGATTTGGTAACTCTTCTACTCAATGCTTTCCAGTCTCTTCTCACCTCAATCAGAATAAAATCCAGTCTTTACCTGGAATACAAGGTTCTGAAGGACCTGTCGTGCTCACTGCCACCTCCTGCTAAACTTCCCTGCTCTCTTCTACCTGATATCTCTGAGCTGCACAGGCCTTCTCTCCTTCAATATGCCAAGCAAGCTCTAATATCAGACATCAACCCTGCTTGTCCCTTTTTTGAGGGTCTTCTCTCAGGTATCAGGATGGTTTAATCTTTTCAAATCTTTATTGAAGTGATCCCCTACTTAGAAGAATGAGCCTGACCATCAAGTAGTACCCCAGGTGGTCTTTGTTTTCTACTCTGCTTTATATTATTGCTTAAAATTCATTTCCACCTGACATATTATGTGTTAGTCCTTTGTTTATTTCTGTCTGTAAGCTCCCTGTAATCAGAACTTAGGATTCATTTTTTTGCTGTATTTCCCAGTGTCTAGGACATGCCTGGCACATGGCAGGCACCCTGAATATATTCGTGAACTCACTGGTAATCTGCTTACTTTATTTATGGAAATACTTTACATAATGTTTTAGTACTTTTCTTACTTACTAACTAAGCTACTGGCTGAAAGCTAGAGATTGGTTGACTTCAGGATTCCGCAAGATTCTAGAATTCCCAAAGCATCTGTGGTCCCAAAGGGCAAAGAGGGTTTCTTGCAACATGATTTATAACCAGGGTGCCAGGAGAGTACAGGGAAAAACAGCTTACCTACATAGCATTAATTTTGATTCTGGTCTATTAATTTCCCAGATATATATCATGAAATATTCTTGTTTTTGTTTATATCTGCAAGAGGAAAAGTTACACATCCAAATGGAGCATGCTTCTATCTTTAAGTGTTACATGATAAATTCTTCCAGCACTTGAAAAAACAGGCTCTCAAGCCCAGTGCCTGGTTTGTTTGTTTCTCCATTCCACTCTTTGGTAAATCTTACACCCTATGAAAAAAAAAAAAACTTGAACCTTGAAAAAAGCCCCAGGCCTTTCCGCTCCATTACCTCATACAATCTTTATATAAGCAGTGAAGTACTTGCAGTTCAACTTTTTCCCTTTCAAATTTTGTGTATTTTAGGTTTATGCTGCTGCTAAAACAATATTTATGCAGTGAGCAAGGAGAGCTAAAGGTGCTGTTTAAATTAGTTTTTCAGGAAAATACAACCATCTAATTGGGAAAAAAAGGTTCCTCTTTACTCAGGCAAGGGCGGATATTTGAATATAAACAGACAGAGACATCATTGCAGAAGTGTGCTTACTTGACAGGATTTCTGGCAGCATCTGGATCTTGAGCTGTGACCGAGCCTATTGTTGTGTTTATCTGAGCATCTTCTCTGATTTGTAAGACATAGGCCAGTTTGCTGAAGACCGGGGGCTCATCCACATCCTCCACCACAATTCTGACCGTGGCTGTGTCTTTGAAGGGACCCAGGTAGAGAAATCGGGGCTCAACGTGGGGATTGGAGGCTTCCACCTTGAGGGTGTATACTTTCTTCTTTTCAAAGTCCAAACGCTTGGAGAAGAAAGTGCCATGTTTAAAGGAGTCAGGACATAGAAAGCCAAGACAGGAACCATTTTCAGTGCAAATCTCTGATAAATAAATGTGATCATATCACTACATTTTAGAGTGATGTTGGGTAGAGGCAGCAAAGATAAGGTATAATTATTTTACTTCTGACACCCTCGACCATTGGGAGGGGAACCATTATACAAGCTATGAAAGAGTTCAGATACCAGCCAACTCTAATGAAACCAAGCCCACTGTCAATGAAAAAGTGGGTGCTGAGGCACTAGGCACTGTACTGGGCAGGAAGGGAAACTGGAAGCAGAAATATGTCATGGCTTACCTCCCTCCCTTAAAAAAATCCTTATATTTGGCTGCGGGGGTGTCAGCAGGGTCAAGTTGGCAATATGTAATAGATTATTCTGTCAGATGTTCTCGCATCTGGCTTTAATTGCACCTGCTGAGTGCTTAAAATTTGTGCATGCCTGGGGCCCTAGTCTGGTCCATTAAACCCAAACACCTAGTATGGGATGGTAATCTCCACTTTTAAACACCTCGCCATGTGATTCCAGGGTGTAGCCAGAATTGGGAACAACAGGTTTGCATCATGACTTTCTCCTCCTCATTCAGACAAAAAAGGTTCATTTTTTTTGTATGAGTTAGTAAAATATCACAAAGGATACCCTGAAAAGGGCATTGGGCTAATTATTTACCAAAGAAAGGAGCGATCATTGTTATCAGAGGCCTTTAGGAAGAACATTGTTGCTTTTGGAGACACACTGAACACAAATGCTTTTTGCTGACTTTTAGTTTCAGATGATAACATGACAAGGCTCACTGGAAACACAATTAATCAAGACATTAGTGAATGTGATTTAGTTGGCTAGGCAAAATTTCAGGTTGAATCTGATAAGGCACCAAGAAAATTAAAAAGGTTAATGCACACTAATGGGCTTCCTAATCATATTATGATATAAAACATTGGTCTGAGTGTCACTAAAACATGTTTTATTTGTTCCAGATATTAAGACATGTTCTCAAGGGGAAAAATTTCTTGTTATTTACATCCACCTATGCTTATATTTACCAGCAAACAACAATTTGCTGAAGAATGGAGAAAATATACTATGCATGATAAAAGGGAAATCACTAAAAAATTAATTCAAATGAATGTTTTTAGCCTTGAAGCACACAATTTATCAGTTTTTAACTTTTGTCATACTTTGATATAGTGTTCGGTGGTGTTAGATAATTTTGGGAGGTAAAGTAATGCATAAATACAGTGGTGCAGACAGGAAATTCAGAACATTAAAGATTTTATTATCATTGTGTTCCAGAAAGTAGCTAAGGTAGTCATAGGAAATTTGTATTGCTTAAATTGGTGCTCTTTATATATGTCATCTCTCTAATTCAGGCCATCTTGACCACTGTCTGCATTACTCTTTGTCCTTAAAGCATCCTCACAATTTGTAGTTACACATTCATCTGTTTGCTTGCTTGCTTCCTGGTTTCTTTTTTCCCTGGCCTGAAGTTCCGCCAGAGCAGAGACCATCTGTTGAAGGTGTCATTGCACCTTTACCACTTACATCAATGTCTAGCATGGTCTGCTTATTTATCATCCATTTGCATTTTGATGTATATGTTAATATAGATGTATTTTTATGTATATCATTTGCTTATATTATTTATTTACTTAGGAGACTCAATAAAAATTTATTGAAAGTATGGAATTAATAAATGTATACAATTATTTTAGACCCCTAAAAGCCAACCCAAGAAGTCTCAGTGTGATAAGGATTTGTATTTTTTAAAGAAATAATTAGTATGATAAGAATACAAAGCAATGTTTATATGAAGTGTTAATCGCCCTTGGTGATTTGGAAACCAGAGAAAAGTAAACCTGTTCATTGAAAGATATGTAAGGAATAGCTTTACCTTTTTGACAGTTATAACCCCTTCTTGTGTTTCCTGGTCGGTGATGACATCGAACATATCCAGCCCCTCACCGTCCGTGATGCTGTACTCAATCTCTGCATTTTCTCCCACATCAGCGTCGCTGGCTTTGATCCTACCAACTGGTGTACCCGGTAGAGTAGATTCAGGGGTTTTAAATTGGTATGTACCTATCAATCACCAGACAGATAGGAGTCAAGCACAGACTAAGCACAATCTGTCATAGTAAGCAACCCCCTCTTATCTGTGGGGATGCACTCTAAGCCCCCAGAGGATGTCTGAACTGCTGATAGTACTAAATCCTAAGTATAGTGTATTGTGTTTTTCCTATCCAAACATACCTCTGATAAGGTTTAACTTATAAACTAGGCACAGTAAGAAATTAGCAATAAAAACTAACAAAAGCTAGAGCAATTACAATAATTTATGGTAATAAGAGTAATAAGAGTTACTGGAATAGCCCATTTAAGATTTATGGACTATGGTTGACAATGGGTAAATGAAGCTGCAGAAAGCTAGATTATGGATAAAGGGGGGACTGCTGTAAAAAAACCCATTTTCTAACTATCTTTTAAGACATTACCATGGGTGGATGGAGGCAGATTCGTGCTTTCTTCAAAATAATCAGTGGTGCTCTATTCTCCTAATTCCTTTACTCTCACAATTATTAAGACTATTTCTTCTATTTCATGTATCTTTGCAAATGGAGAGCACTTTTCTTGTCCTACAATCAGGCTCCCAAGTTTATATGCAATTGTAATAATGACTGAAATGTTAAAGGAGGGAGCAGAAGGGTTTCAAGCCCCCTGCTAATGTAATCCAGCAGAAAGGAGAGAATTTAACTGGAACTTCAATTTGAAGCCAGTTATTAGGTGCTCTTTAAACTGGTTTCTTTCTGCTATTGTTAATACTGGCTGAAGGTGGAAGTAAATTATAGAAATTTGGAGAATGTCTCCAAGTAGACATCCTTTTACTCATATGCAGAGCTTTTCTGGATGCAGAGTTAGGGATATAGGTAAATACACTGAGTGATAAAACTCTTTTTTTTGTCTTATTGACAAAAACAATCCTATCGATTCTTATTTTTCCCTTTTAAATTTCATTACAGTATTTTCTCCTACACATAGACTTCTCTGATGATTATATTTGTATTATTAATTCAAAGCCTGTATTTTGTAGTTAGTTACTTCCTTTATGTCCTCGTGTTGCAAAATTAGTTTAAGAACTACATGAGAATTTCATGTAGTTCATCTGGCAGGCCTGTATGTGCTTAGAACCAGAAAAAAATTAAAATAGCAAAACAAAAAATTATTCTATTTTCACTTTTTCAACTCTTCATACAAATGGATTTGGAAAAAACAACTGTGCCACCACTAAAATGCAGGCCTTCAATAATATTAATTCCCTGAGTATCAGGCTCTTCCTTGGTAAAATGATAAAATCAGTTAAGTATTTCTCTAGTATATTCGACTTCCATTTCTGGGCCTTCTCTACCTTTATGTGCTCCATCTGTATTTTCTGGGCCTTCTCTACCTTTATGTGCTCCATCTATATTTTCTAATAATAAGCCACGGTTTATCTAAGGAAAGAACACAGTGAGAAATTCCTGAGGTAGCAAGGGTGGTACTGAATCTTTATGGTCTCCTCCCCACAGCGAAGTGTTGGTTATCCTGGTATTTTCATTTCAGGCCTTTGTGGAGAAATTTTACTCTTCTTGTGCCCATTATAATCGGAAATTATTAGTTAACTATTATGTTTTTGCATTTAGCTAACGCTGAATAATACTTGAAAAAGTAAAATTATTTTCAATGGTCCCTGGATCACCATTCTAAAGGAAGCCCATATTTAGCTGACTATTTTTAAAAAATTCCATGATAGAGTAGGTGGGTTTTCTATTCAGTGTTTAAGATAATTTTCTTAGGAGATCATGTCAGAAAGAAATTTAGTTCCTGGAAGAACAACTGCATCAAAACCAGTTCCCACCTGGATGGCTCTAGGTAAAAGTCCAGCATACTGCTCGACACAAAGTCAGTGTTCATGGATGCTATTTTTACTCCCCAGCCAGTCATAAGAGTTAATGATTTTTGAGATGGCTTCCAGTACCACAATTAACTATGATGTAGAAAACTATTTATGATTACAAATGGATTAGCACATAGTAACTTCCACAGTTATATTTTTAGAAGTAGGAAAATGATAAATCCTTTCCTTACAAAGCTTTGTGAATATTTAAAAGAGATTACATGCCTGATTAAATTTACAAAACATAAAGTCAACTTTTTTCCTAAGAAATAGCAGCATTCTTGCATACATATGTTCTGCACAAGCAAATTGATGTGTCTGGTAGTCTTTTTAATAAGGAAAAAGAAAACAAGGGTGTTAGTTTTACAACAGCAGTATCAGAAATCGCTCAGCTAATTACCAATGGTGGAACATAAATGTTCACACTCACTGAACATAAATGACATTTTCAACTAATTTTAATAATTTTAATAAAAGTGCCAGTTCTTACAAAATCCACTAATTTTGATAATAATTACGACAATGGAAAGTAAAGTCAGATTGTTACAAAAGCACATTGCAGAAACTCATTCGATCTATTGTTCCTACTCTGAGGAAATCGGGGTGGATTGTCATTGACGTCAGTCAGTGTGATGTTCACTGTGGTGGTCCCGGATAATCCTCCCATCTGGCCGCCCATGTCCTTGGCTTGAATCACCACTTGATACTGCTCTCTGTTTTCTCGATCCATGTTGAGCAAAGCTGTCTTGATGATACCTATGGATGTGAAATTTAGGAATGGAAAGGGATGCATTAAGAACACTTTATGGATTTGTTTTTGTGCAAACAAACATAGACTGTCCCACCCAATATGCAAAATTCTAGGTAGATATCATAGTGGACTAAAGTGATATCCTTTATACTGAAGGATATTACAATAACATGGGGAGAGAGATACATTTTGAAAAGCCTATAATATAAGGAATGGAGAATGACAATAAGAACGAGTCAAATATTACAAGAGAATAGATCACAAATAGTATAACTATGCACTATTAAGTGTTGTAATAATACGATAGGTATGATAGGTATCTGATAAAAAAATTGCATATTATGGGCAATTTTTTAAAGAAAGCCATGTCCTCGAACTGACTCCTGAGTTTCTCATTAGTGAGTTGGCTAATTGTTCCTCAAATATACCTACTATAATGAACGTTCTGAGGATTGTGTAAACCACAAAACTTGGGTGTTAAAAAATCATAGCATCAGTTCTCTCACAATTATCATCTTATATGGTCCTTGAGAATTTAGGTTTTCTTAAAGCTGATGAGAATATCAGTTCAACTGATCCCAACAGTAACCAACATTTTAAAGTTAGGTTAAATTTATCTCTGTTTTTAAGTAGTAATAAGATAATTACTTGAGAAAATTTATAGAAGTTTTTCTAATCTCTATATGGGGTTTTTTATGCTTAAATTAGCTTTTTAAAAAAAATTACTGGAGAAAGCTTTATGACCCTCTCCGGTCACACATTCCAGTGCTTAACAACTAATGAAGCTGAAAATGTCTTTTTTTTTCTTTTTAACAAAAGTACCTCAGACAACAGGTCAATTTTAATCCTATGGTCTTGGCTTCAAAGTACAACTGCTTTCTTTTCTCCAAATAACAGAACTTCTCTATTTAAATATAGGAGATCACCTTAGCCTTTGTCCTTTAAGAGGAGTAATTGTAATTTTTTATCCTCATTGTTTTTCAACTCAACATTTTCTTTCTCCTTGGGATTATTTCCAAGTTCACTGCACCTTTTAATGCATGGATTTTCAACTGCATGTAGTAACCTAGAAAGGTTCTGATTTCTACTAAAAATAAAGGATGTTTGAAAAAGTACAAAAGGAACCTGACTCCTATTATGATAGCAAAAATATGTGTAGGATTTAACACACAATACAAAGGCTGTTTGTTAAAAATAAATTACCATCAGAAAGTATGCTACTTTAGGGAAAATACAGGAAAATCAGATGTAAAAGACAGGATTCTATAAGGTGATCCACTTTGATTGATTTGGGCTGTATCTGTTAGGATAGACTAGGTAATAATGTGATGACAATGACAGTCTTGGTAGCTTGACACAACTAAAGTTTAATTTTTGTTCATGCTCTGAGCAAGAAGCTCTGCTCATGGTAACAGTCAGCCATCCAGCCTGGACACTCCATCTCAACAATGGTTTCTATGATCATTGTGGTAGGGGGAAGGGAATGTGGCACATTTGCACACCAGCTCTAAGAGTTCTGCTTGGAGGTGACTTGTATCACTGCCATATTTTACTTGCCCAAATAAATCACCCATCTACACCTAGCTTCAGAGCAGAATAGAGAGATACAATCCTATCAAATAACTATAAAAGAAGAATCAGAGTATCTGTGAACAGTCCTAGTAATCCTCAGAAAGGGTTAGTTTTTCAGGTTCAATCCAAACTGGAAGAAAATAATAGAATGTATAATTTTTCTGAATTTGCCCTATATAAAAGTGGTGGATGAAAGATTCATTGTCAGATTTCTTGATTAAAATGATCTGGATGTCATGCTTACAAATATATCATTAGTATTTGGCAGAGAAATACAAGAAAATTCAATCACACTGATTGTTTTTATTAAAAAATATGCTAGCTCAGCTGAGCATGTCAATTAAAGTTTACAGAGTGTAGAAAAGAAGACCAAAAGTGAATTCTAACCTGTTTCAGATTCAACTGAAAAATAGGGTTGTCCCTGTAGAATACTATAGACAACTTTAGCACTGTTCCCATATGTTGGATCATCAGCATCTGTTGCAGTGACTTGAACAACAAATGTGCCTGTAATGACAGAAACATAAACTGAAAACAAATTAAGATTCCTCGGTATACTTGCACAAAAAGAAAGCATGATCTTAATTTTGTACACAGCTATCAGGGCAAAGGAGTGGAGAACTTCAGTACACTGGTAGGTTAAAAAACCTTGGATTCTTCACTCTGAAAGGATGAGACCAACATTAATAAATATTGTAAGGATTAGGTTGAAGAGGAGCATGGGAATTATCAGACTGTGGGTGGAACTGGTTCCAACACATGTCCAATGACAGAATTTGGCTGGACTCTTGGTTGTTTTTTGTGGTGCTGGGTATCAAACAGAGAGCCTCCTGCATGCTAGGCAAGTTGTTCTACCATGAAGCCAAATCCCAGCCCTTGACTGGACTCTTGCTGCAGTGATTCTTTAAGTTAATTAGCACCTCACATTACTTTGCCCCAGGAATTAGTTTATGAGTTGTCCACTCAGGGGGGTCACTGAAGATTTTCTAGATAATCTGTGTCATCAATGTTCTTTCTTCCTGGATGGTAGTGTACTGATGTGACGCCACAAATGTAGCTGCTATTTTGTGAACTGCTATTTTTTGTAGAACTACCAGCTTGAGGACTCAACTGAATACGATAGAAAGCTACCAAGAAGCAGCTAGATTCCAGATCAAATCTATCCAAAGCTTACTTTACGTTTGGACTAAGTAAGTGCTTTTATTGGGCTGAAGGGGTGGCTCAAGTGGTAGAGCATCTGCCCAGTAAGCACAAAACCCTGAGTTTAAACCCTAGTGCCACCAAAAGCAAGCAAGCAAACAAAAATACCTTTATATTGTTTAAACTAGTTTGAGTGGGTTTTCTTGTTATTTGCCATCCTAAACAATAAATCTATCTGATAATTCCAAGAGGTTGAAAGACTTTGAGTCTTAAAAGATCAAATAAAGAATCAACTGGAACAGCAGAGAGGAAACATCTGGAAGCTGTAATTTCAAAAGATGGTTATAGCTAAATATATAAAGAAGGCTATTGCATTTTAGATTAGTATTCTTATTTTGGGGATAACACTCACCTAATAACTTTCAAAGTATCCCTATCCACCCTGAAATTCATGCCAATTTTCATGTGTATGTTTACATGTTTATTTCACTAGAGAGAAGATACATAGATTATATTTGATTTTCAAAGGGATCTGTGACTTCCAAAAAGGAGAAGACTCTGATTAAGATCATATTATGGCTGGCTTTTGATTTTCCTATAAGATAAGCAGTAAGCACACTGCTAGAATTCTATCTGTGAAAAGGGTAGAGAACTTCCATCTAGGGAATATTAGAATTTTGAAACTGCTTCTGTAATATATAACCAACTCCATTTATGGAGCACATAGGGTGAACTATGTTAGGTTGGATGCTCTGATATATTATGGTGATGCATGAGGCACAGTACTCGCCCTTATAATTTGGCAAGGGAGGTAGAGAAAATGAGATCACTGTGTTGTTTTCATACATTTTTTAGTGAGACTGGGGTATGAACTCAGGGCCTTAAAAATTGCTAAGCAGGCACTCTACTACTCTACCAGCCCTGCATTTTGTTATTTTAGTAGGCAAGCTAACAGAAGTCAACAAATACCTAAGTTCTTATTTGTATTAATATAGAATTTGATCTCTTTCAGAATATGATTATCTGTATGTTTTAAGTGCCTAGCACTTGCCAGATTCTGTACTTGTTTTCTTATTTAATCTTCTTGGTAACCCTAGGAGTAGACATTTATTATTTATGTTTTATAGATACAGAACTGAAAGATCAAAGAAATCAGGATCATAGAAATCAAGTAATTTGCTCAAGGCTACACTGCTGGTTATTAGTGGAGATAGTTTCAAATTTAGGTTTGTTTGACACCCAAGTCCATTTTTATCCTCTGCTGTGTCCTACTACCTTTATGCAATTTTTGAAAGATGTATTATATATTACAATAATATAGATTTAGCATAATGATGATTATCAACATTAGTGTGCTTGCATGTGAATCAGAAAAAAAATAGTCTTCCCTTTTTCAAGACCTATTACTGCCAGCCATCCCCAAATATTTGTGATACACAGTTAATTCTTTAGTGGCTTTAAAAGTGAATAGAATTCCCTAGAGTTGGGCAGCACATCACGCAGTTTTTCTGGGTAGTGCTGGTAACTATCCCGCATTAACTTTCTGCTTTTGACCACCTACAGGAAAAATAAACAAACCAACCTTCCTGTTAAAAGAATTCCATGCCCTTTGTTTGCTTTGGCTATGGCTTGTGGTTTTTTTTTTCTAACAAAACAAACTGGTTCCAAGTAATAAGACGAGAAATTTTTTCATGAGAAAAATTTTAATGTTTTATAATTACTTCCATGGGTTGGAGATTTTCCAAGTCTTGGATCTGTAAGCTACAATGTCTCTGATAGTTGATTGACACATTCAGAAAAGTTATTATGAAATTTTAGTCCTTTTGAATTTGACAAAGTGAAAATAAAAATGACCCTTTATTTAAGTAGTTTAGAATTTGTCACTGTCTCCCATGATAATGTTTCTAAGAGTGATGTCATAAGATTTTTTGTTAATTTAAACTGCTTATGTCCTTCCAATTTAAACAAATTAAATCCACATAAATTGAACTTAAAGTTGGTAGTGAAATTGTGCATAAAATATTAATTCACCATATTAATGTCATAAATGTCTCTTTTTTCCCACCATCTGTTTATTGTTTACGAAATAAAAATATTTTTGGAATGTCTTTCCCAAATTTGTAGTTACTTAAAGCAACTATCACTGTTCCTTAGACTGAACTGTAAATTTTGCCTTCCACTGGGGAGGTCCTTCCCTGGAACCCATAGTGACATGGGCTGAGAGAAAGAGAAAAGCCTGCTGTCTTTCAGCCCAAGAAATAAAGTGGGAGAGAAAGCAGACAAGATGGTCTCCCTTTCTACCTTCTACCTCTCTGCCATTTTCATACCCTTATCATTAGACAAAATGCTGGTTTCTTAAAAATAGTCACAAGATGAGATTACAGTAATATTAAGCAACAAAGGTACAGTTATAAAAAGGTTGTATGTTGATTGAAAATACGGTAATTTTGTAATTTAGCATCTAAATTCTTTCATCTCAGTAAATTTGGCTCAGGATGCACTAGTGAAGATCCAGTTCTTGGCTGAAATCACATCTCACTCACCGACATCAGACATTTCAGGGACAGTGGCTGTGTAAACCTCCTTGGTGAATATTGGCTCATTGTCGTTGATGTCATGGATCTTGATGATGAATTCAGACTCAGGCTCCACGGGTCTCCCTGTTCTTCTATTGATAGCTTGAGCTCGAAGGATATAAACAGGTTTTTCCTCTCTGTCCAGCCTCTTGGTAGCCTGTATGTCACCTGTGTTTTCATTGATAATGAAGAGATCTCCTGCTCCATCTCCTGAAAGGATGTATTTAAGTGATCCATCTCCTCTATCCTGGTCTGAATGTAACTAGTGTAGAAAGAAAATTAAAGAAAGCAAAAGTCAAGCGTGTGATCCTAAATTGTTTTTGTCTTTACAATGCATGCTATGTTAACTTTCATTCAATCCCATTGACATACAGGCTTTTCCATTTTATTATTTACAACTCCTCAGTAGTAAATGTCACTCGTTAAAGACCATGTTTCCTTAAACTTGTTTGGCGATGTGAAAGCTAAAGGCCAGAGCAACAGTGATATGCTCAAGGACATAGAAGCCTGGCTGGAATAAAACTATTTTCACTACAGTTCTCTTCTAATTCACTCTGCTCCTCATTTGTATGCACACACACGAGACAAAAGACAAACTACTGAAGAGGGACTTTGATTCCCAGTCAGCGGGACCTGAGTACATTCCACCTCTTGGTGAATTTCGGAAAGTTAGCGGTGTCCTTGGATTTGTGGTGATGAAGATCATCAGACCTTTTCCAAGAGGCCGTGATATTCATTTATTTATGAAACCCCACTCAAAGACACTGAGATAGCCTAAGTGCTGTCATGAACAATGGAAAACCACCTTACTAGATAAGTTACATCACTTGGAACAATGACATTTAACATTCAGATTTTAGTAGAAAATAGGAAAGAACCCTGTACATAGGTACAGCCTAAAGTTGAAATAGTCTGCATAACTTATAAGAACAGGAGGGCGAAACAGGAACAGGTCCTGCTGGGGCGGGGTACGGCTGGTATTTTGGGAGGGGGAGGTAGTGAAAAAGGGGGAAAAGGGGGTAGGAGGGTGAATATGGTGCAAAAATGTGTACACATGTACGTAAATGCAAAAATGATACCTGTTGAAACTATTCCAGAAATGGGAGTGGGGGAATACAGAAGAGCGAAGGAGGGGGTGAATTCAAGTATGACCTATTTGATACATTGTAAGAACTTTGTAATGCTACAATGTACCCCCACCCAGCACAAAAATAAAGGGAAAAAAGAATATATGTATGAGGTAGTAAGATTCCTGTGCTGATGGTAATTCAACCAGAGCTCTGATGACTTACATCAGTGAAATGGGTCTAGGTAAAGGATTGAATTACACAAAGACTAGGCTGCGATAGAACTGGAAGATGCTCTTCTGTATTGGAAAAGTAAACCACTGTTTTCTATCCCAAAGATCATTTCCACAGTGTGGAATTCCTGTTGTTTCCTTAATTCTGTTTCTTTTCCCCTATCCAGTAAAAGTTTAGGTCTTTGGATAATCTATCTCTGTTCATAAATTTTCAAAAAGTACTTTTTGTTGAGAAGGACAACTTAAGAGCCTGCATCATAGGTACCAGTGATACACAGACAAGTTAGTTGCAGGGGGAAGGCTGCTAGTCTCTGTCTTGTTTTAGCTCTGCTAAACAGAGTTGCTATGTTACAACAACAAAGGCAACAGCAACAGGTAAACCAACTCAGTGTCGTCCTGATTAATACCATGCAGAATACTCCAAGAAGTGTTACAGACACATCTAAAAATGGATTTTCAGGGCAACAAGGGGCTTAGAAAACCATCTCACCCACCTTTCTAAAAGTGTGTTCTATGGAATATCATGTATAGCAAATGCAGAGAGAAGAGGGTCTTGTGTATACATTTGGGAACCACTTCTTATTCCACCTCTTTCTCACCTGCTAACATATTAAAGGCCATGAATGTCTGCAGTTTGGAACTGTACTTGACCTTATTTGATCTAGCTTTCTGGAAGTTTCTTGTTTAATGTATCCTTTTTGGGTATAACACATATAGGTATGCTCCAGGACTAATTTTCCAAGAAAGACCTGTTCTGTGTGTGATCCTGAATTACTTTGATCCATCACAGTAGAGGCAAGAAACCCAGAGTTCAAGTTTATGTAGTGTTTCCAAAGTCATATCCAGCCCATCTGAGGGGCTTGCCCTCAAATTCTAATCTTAGAAGATTCCCTATGGAGTATTTGGTGCAATTTTCTTTTTCAGAGATAGAGAAACTGTGTCCAATGCCACAGTACGAGAGATAATTGAGGAGTTTGAAAATGAGAATATTATTCACACAATTAGTAGCTTTGAAAGCAATTTGGCAGAAATAATGAACGATAAATGGGAACAGAGAGGAAACTGCTAAGAAGTGAGGCAAATTCCATAAGAAATGTAAAATAAGAACACTCCATGATTTGTGTAATGTGATATGCTAAGAAAACGATGGAACCATGATGACGCAGAAAGAGCCACTGGGGAAAGTTTAACTCTCCATTGTCAGATTTTAATGACGGAAGAGTGCTTTTAAAAACTCATTTCATTAAGTCACAACTAAAGCAACCGATGCCTGTGCCCTTCGTATTCTTGCTCCAGGGCAGCTGTGGTCAGTAGCCTGGTACAGTGCAGAGGGTGCCATGTACATGCATGCTTTGTCCCTCACCAAATGTGAGATCACAGCAGAGCCAAGTCACCTCCCTGAGCCAGGACCCTTAGCAGTAAAGGGAGGATAGATAGTAAAAGCCACAGGACTGTAGCCACTGTGAAGCTCTAATAAGAGACCTTATACAAGTGCCACAATAACTGTCACATAAACATGCAATAAAAGCATGATATCAATTATAAAAATTAAAAATTTTGTTAACTATAAAAAGCCTTCCAGGTTAGATATTCCTACTATCATTCTCTTAGTTCATGATCAGCGTGTATTTGTACTTATTCTGACTTTGAGAACTTTGTTTTGAGAACTTGGAAAACCCAATTTTATGAACACGCCATATCTCTGACGTAAAATATGTTATCAAAAGCCAGTATTCTTCTACCTGGTGGCAATTGCTGTCTTTACGTGTGATTTATTATATTCTGTATCTCACTGGATTACAGACTCTCCTTGGCTGGTTCTTTCATCATTTTCAATATGTAATTGTTGCACACTTAGTAGGTGAATACCACAGCTGGTCACAAGATTTATTCAGGTCAAAGTAATCAGAAACTTATTTTTAGCTGTCAGGAGAGACCATTTGGATGACTTATAGAACAAACACCCTAGACAATATAAAGGCCCAGAGGAGATGCCAAAAAAGAGTGTGAACAGGATTGCCTTGCAGATCACAATTCTGATTTATCAATATTTGAAAACGTGTGGGAAAATGCATCTCTTCACTCAGGCATTGTCTGATAATAAAACAATTTAACCTTTTCTCCCCCTTCTCTCCACAAGGTGTGATATTTGAGTCTGACTCAAATATCTTCTGCACACAGAAGAAACCTCCAGGAGTTTGTTTCTCTCACCACTCCCCTCCTCTTCCCTTAGCTCCCCTGGGGCCAGTTCTTTCTCTATTCTTGGGGAGAAAGGAAACAGAAGACTTCAGTGCCTTTGAAAATGGTGGCAACAACCCAGACATTAGGGGTTTATTGAGCACTTAGATTTTAATTGGATTTTTTTGTGTGTGATGTCATTCATCATGGCCACTGTAAAAGACAGAAGTTTAACAACAACAAATAAAAGGTTGTAGACTGCTTGAGGCTTGTTTTTACTAATTTCAGCTTAATGTGGCTGTTCCATTAAGTTTAATCGTCTGGTTCACTTTTAATGATTCACCATCAAGTAAAAATTATCCACTTCCCTCCAAAGTCACCTGTGGCTCACAGAACTTTGTTCTACTGTATCTGTACCATTCTGAGCCAGAAGGAGCTCTTGGTCTGTTTGTTTCTCTGTTCGCTTTATAAATTTTTTTCTTTCTTTTCTTCTTCTTCTTCTTTTTTTAATGTGGTGTCTTGGCAAATAAACACAGGAATTTGTGTTTATCAGCATGGCCCCATGGAGGGTGACATCAGGCAGTGGCAGTACCTTTGCTGGCAGTGCTGTGTCCCTGGGGACACAGCAGCCTTTCATCTGTTACGTACGCCAACTCCCAACTTAATTTTGAATTAAATTTAAGGCTCTAACTGCAATTGTATAGATTTTTAAGGGTCTATGAAGCCAGCTAATGCTGCTCTATCACTGTCACTTCCTGTGAGTCACTGAGTCAGTGACCAAACTGAGTCTTCTAAACATATGCATTGTTGAGACAGAAAACAATCTAAACCAACCTTACTGAAATGGCTCAGATGTTCCTAGAAGGGCCAGAAGTAATTTAGAGAAGGAATATGGGATATTTGTCTGAAAGGAAACATGAATTGTGGCTAATATGTTTTACAGTCTAGTGCAGAGGTAACATGGCTCTTTAAAGAAAGGTTGTTATCTGAAACATTCTGGGACAATGACAACAGCTGTGGTGAAATGACTGTGTGACTTGGGGTGAGGTGGAGAAATGAAGTTAAAGCAGAGAGAATGTGCTAAACAGGCTGTGCTAAACAGGCTGCCTAACATTTTAAATTAGGTACTAAATCTATGATCAGGTTATGCCATGTTCAAGCTTTATTGAATTTAATATACCTAAGGATGCTTGTAGATATTCCTACATCTTTGTATATAATGCATGGATACATGATGCTAATAAATCAACGTAATATTGTGAAGGTCAGGAAGACCAGGGTAGAGTTAGGAAGAAATTAAACCTTGCTTAGAGTGTATGGCCAGGATTAGATAGTCTGTTTTAGAAATTATAGGATTAGGTAAATAAAATATCTTTTAATAAAATTTCCGATTTCATATTTTACTATGGCATATTTGAATGCTTATGGTTTAGTGTGTGTTAATTAATTTAGATCCAATAACTATTTAAAAAATAATAATGAAAAGGTTGAGGGGAACATGCATTGTTCAAACTCTTTGTGTTAGTCAGTTTACATGATGATAACAAAATACCTGAGTTACTAAGCTTACCAAGAAGAAAGGTTTAATTTGGCCCAGTTTCAGAAGCTTTAGTCTATGGTCTCTTGGCCCTATTGCTTTGGGCTTGTGATGAGGCAGAAGATCATGGCAGGAGTGTGTGGCAGAAGAAGCTGCTGATGTCATGATGGCCAGAAGCAAAGAAGGCAAGGGGAAGGGGCTGGGGTCCTAATATTCCCTTCAAGGGCCTGTTTACCATGACCTAACT